CGGCCGCCGGTGGCCCGCGGGCCCCGAGAGCGGTTTCTTTGCGGTTCGCAACCTCGCGGGGACTTCTCCTCCGTCAGCTTGGCCAGTCTCGCCTTCACCTTACGTTAGTGTACGGGGTATGCAGCGTCTTGCGGCAGCTCCTAGGGGTTCCTCGGTTTTACTGATTCTGCCCCTTTAAAGCACTCTTTAGGGGAAAAAAAAAAAAAAAAAAGTTGTTTTTGGTTGGTTAGTTTGTCATCTGCTCACTTCCTGCAGGTATCCGGATACAAGAGAGTTCTTAAAGGGACCGCAGTCATTCTGAGAGGAATTGGTAGCATTTCAGTCATTCTGAGAGGAATTGGTAGCCTCTCGCTCACTGGGAGCTGCTTGCAAGATGGTACAAAGCCACCTTTGAGAGAAGGCGTAGAAGGTACAGAGAATGGCGTCACTGAGCAGAAAGACAAAATAGGCGACTCTGGGCAAGAACAGAAGTTCGAATAGGAGACTGTCGTACGGAATAATGAGCAAAATGACTCAAACCAAAGTTAAGATGGTTAAAACAAGACATGGGATGATCTGACAGAAGCATCTTGGAAAGCTTAATTGCTAAGCCAGGGCTTAGCCTCAAAGGATGCCTCTGTCCATGTGGCAACACTGATATTACTACAACGCTGCAGGCTTTTAGTGGTGGTACACGCTTGTGTAAGCGGGGTTTTACAAATGTGTTTTACTGGCTTAGAGAGGTGGGTTGCACCTGGATAACTCTTATCAGTATAGCACGAGGAGTGCAAATGTCCCTTTTTTTCTAGGTAGTGTCAGAGAACCAGAAATGGGGATTTTAGTAGTTTGTATTAAAGATCATTGGAGGTAGGTGAAAGATTTGTAAGCTGCGGCGATGTTAGCAGATCTGTGTGTCTGTAATGGGATAGTGGAGAAAGGTGAAGCGCTTAAGGAAACTGAAAAACTGGAACAATTACTAAATAGTTCAACTTTTTCAGCATTAAAAAGCCCGTTTTGAAACTTAACATTTGTACGTTGTGTTCCTGTCCGTATTATCATAGGAAAGATAAATATCTTTCAGCTTTGAGACTGATTTCAGTGTGTCCTTTGTATTTTCAGCGAGGAAATGAATCGAGGGTTGATACTAAAGTTTGAAAATCTGGTCCAGTTACGTGGTGCTTGCCGGCAGCTGTGTACTCTCTCCTACAGAAAAGTTTACAGAGCACAATGGAAGCCTGTGCAGTCATCTGCGCATCCCGTGTGGTCCGTTCTTCTGTATCCGCGGCTCTGGCAAAGAGACAAATTAATCAGTGTCGCCTCGTCGCAACACAGACATCTAGCTACAAAGGAGGTAATTAACAAAATCCAGTAATCTCTGGTTTTATGTGAAATTTCAAAGTACAAGAGCTCAGTTTGAGCATTTTAATTACCAAAAAAAGAGCTTTATTAATGAATATAGAGAAGTTATTATAAATTTATAAGAAGACAAAATGTACTTAATCTATGACTGTATTGTGACTCCTCAAATATTGACTTAAAGTGCTTACACCAGCAGCATCACAAATCTTGCAGAGACAGGAGGAAATTATTACAAACAAAAAAAAAAATAATTATTTTGTTGATTTTTTCCTTGTCTTGAAAAATTAAAAATGAAAAAAGATTAAATGTAGCATGCCATGTATCTTAAATATTCAGTATGATGTGTTAAGTTGTTCATTTATCGTAATTCATTAGTATCGTAGTAAAAAAAGATGTGTTTACATCATATGGCTTGAGACCACTGTCTTTTTAATATTGTTTTTATTATTTCTTAGTTTATGCCAGCTATGTGTTCCTATATACGTGTCTAATTCCATGTAGGAGACAAAAAAGAAGAAAAAGAAGATACCACTGACAAAAGGTGAAGTGGAGATAAGGCAGAAGATGACTCTTGAGGAATTGGCACGAGCTATGGGTAAAGACGTAGGTGAGAGCCTGCTTTGTTGTTTGAGACTGAATGCGACACAACAGTGAAAATCTATCATGCCACTTTCATGAGTGGTAAAGGCAAAGATGTCTACGATGGCATTAGTTAGTGGTTGCTAATCCCTCCCTTAGCAAGGTAGATCGTACCCATACCAAAGAAAATGTTGGTAGACACAGTGTCAGACTAAAGAGAAAAAAAGTTGGGCCATCCAAATTACCAGGCAAGACGCTGTAATGTGAAGAAGCCAGGACTCTCTTCCGTCTCCAGCAGAAAGGCTGCAGATCCATGTAGGCTGCTCTCTCTGACTCTGTTTCCTAAGTGCTAAATTATTCTGGAAGGAAAAACATTGCACCCTGGTTTGTCGCAGCTGGACCCCTGCAAATAAAGAATTCATGGCTAAAGAGAGAAGGCGCAAAAGAGCTTCAGCCCGTAATCCAGCCTTGGGAGCAGGAATCTTGGATTCAGGAGCAACATTTATTTCATTAAAACAGTCGTTTGATTAACTGGGAGTGGGCAGGACCTGTCTGGAAGCACTCCCCTCTTTAGGTGACCGCCCTAACAACTGGGTTACGGGAGCAGGCTTGTTCTTTGAACCCCATGAACCATTCCTGGTTGTATAGTGGCTCAGCTTGCCCAGTTTCCAGTGATGTTTTGGGGGGGTTACTAGCATGTTTTGACTGTTGACATTTGAAATAATTCCATACCTGTATCATACCCATCTCCAGTCTCTTTTTATCCAGCTGGCTACTTTCTCTGGCAAGCTTCCCTCTCAGCAATGAGGGGCGAAGCAGAAAAGTCTGTCATGTCTTGCTGTACATTTCTGAGATAGATTTGCAATGGTACTCAGGTCAACGTGTAACATTTTTTGATTACTGCAGCATGTTCTGTAGTTCTGCTACCAAAGAAAGTGGCGTATGAACGGATATATCAAATTTCCTTCCTCCTTGAATAACTTCTTTGCTCTTTGGTTTAGATGAGTTTCGGTTGTTTTCTTCTTAGGGAAAAGTAAGCTGTGAAAATCGGAGTGAAAATAAGATTGTAGCATCTAATGAGGAGGTTATTTTTAGTAAGTCTTTCTGAATCAAGTTCTTCTCTGCAAGTATGTAGCATAACAGGAACTTGTAGATAAATCTAAAGGAAAAAGGAATTAAACTTATTAGCAGGGTATAAGCTACTAATGAAGAAGTCTTAAACTGCATGAAGTGGGGGCTTTTTTATCCCACTTGTTTTTGTGGATGTAACTGTTAAATGCCTTTATCTTTTCTACAGATCATATTTATGAAGCGCTGCTATACACAGGCATTGACCTTGATTCACTAGAACCAGATTCCATCTTATATGAAGACCATATCAAGCTAATTGTTAAAAAATCTGGAATGAAGTATAAATCAGCAAAACTGAAGGAGGAAAAAGAAAGAGAAAACACAGATGCTGTGAAAAGGTAAGTTGTGAACTGTTCTTTCTGGCTCTTTTTATCCTGTTTGTTTCTGCAGGTGTTTTTCATACACTGTATTTTCTTTGTTCTGATAGTATGCTGATAATACCTGATATAGTCACAATCTGATAATATTTAAAAGGTAGAGTTTACTATTTTGATTTCTTTGGCCCTAAAACTGATACTCGGATTTGATTTGTTTTAGGTGAGCTTTTTCTATGCTGTTTTCTGAAGAAAAGCCAGTTCTTCTTTGATATACTGAATTGCTGTATTAATTGATGCAGCAGTAAGACTGAGTACTAAGAGGGCTAACTGTGTGGTGCAGCTAAGATTGTGATCTCAGTGGGGAGAAGCTAGGCTCACCTCTTCATCACTGAGCTCTGGTAAACGGCTCTTCCTTAGCCATAGTGGGCATGCACGTCGCTCAGTGAACTTTTTGGGTATTTAAAAAACACGTTTTTGTTTTAATTGCAGGCCTCCTGCAGACCCAGCAGTACTGACCCCACGGCCCCCGGTTGTTACGATATTGGGCCACGTTGATCACGGGAAAACCACCTTACTTGACAGTCTGCGAAAAACTCAAGTGGCATCAATGGAAGCAGGAGGCATTACACAGCACATCGGTGCTTTTCTTGGTATGATTCAAGCCTATGTGCGCGTGTATAAAACAGTTTACTCTCCGTCTTATATAATGGGCTAACTTGCTGCCAGTTCATTGGGGAAAAATGTCGCAACATAAACAGTTTATATGTAAGCAGTGAAAAAGGAACTCGTAACTTGTGATAACTGTCATAAATATGTGGATGGAACTTGGAAGTGGATTTTGTCTGCACAGTTGAAATTATGTTTAGATTCTTTTGGATTATGAAGGATCCCAGGACGCTTTTTCTTTCCTGAGGCACCTTTGACCTCCATGCCAACAGTTACCTGTCTGCCTAAAATATGTCATTATTATTAAAAAAATTCTCAAAGGAGTGATGCTTGATTTACAATAGGTCAAATAAAGCTATGTGAAATGCTGATTTTAAAATGTGCCGCGTACATTTGTTCACAGTGCATTTACCTTCTGGGGAAAAGATAACTTTCCTTGATACTCCTGGACATGCAGCTTTTTCGGCCATGCGAGCAAGAGGTACCCATGTTACTGACATCGTCATACTGGTTGTAGCGGCAGAAGATGGAGTGATGCAACAAACCATAGAATCCATCCAACATGCTAAAAACGCAGGAGGTATGGTGTTTACCTTCGTAATATTCTTAATTAGTATTACATTTTGAAGTGAGTGGCAAGCCCAGTACACCAAGTTTATACACAAGACGTGCGTTACTGTGCAGCTCAAATAATGAGCGCTTTTGCAAACATCACCTCTCAAAAGAAACTCCTTGAATTGGAATCCACGGAACTTGGGAAGTAACTGTCGTAGTCCCCTTCCTTCTCCCCTGGGAAGGTGTTTGAAAATACACTGAATGTTGCAGTAATACGTAAAGACATTAAAATACTAATATTTTTGCGGGACTTGCAGTTTTGCGAGAAAAACACTCATGGGGTGTGGGGGGGTTTATTGCTGGGTTTTTTTTCCCTTCCCTACTAGGATAACTCCTCCAGCTTTACTCATGGTAGCTCAGATCTCGATGGCTGCTCAGGGAATAGGCGCCAAGTGAGATGATTTGTTCAAAGTGGTCATAACGTGGTTTAACCTTTTCTTGCAGTTGTGCTAATAGCAGGTAGTTTTGGTTAGGTTGGTAATGAGTTTGTTTTTCGTCTCTTTTTAGTTCCTCTTATCCTCGCCATTAATAAATGTGACAAGCCTGAAGCTGATCCTGAAAGAGTAAAGAAGGAATTGCTGGCTCATGATGTGGTCTGTGAAGAGTTTGGAGGTGATGTTCAAGCTGTAAATATTTCTGCGCTCAAGGTAAAGTTTTGGTGGAAAAAATGATGGTGTTCGTGGGCGTCTAATATGTGCATACAGATGCATTTTTATTTGGCAGCTGGAAAATAAGTGCTTATCTTCCTGGTATTTGATGCCTTTACCGTGAGCTAAGTGCTGCTGGCTCTCACCAGAATTATTTGAAACACACTCCTATCATATTTTGAAGCTCAGACCTTCAGTGAGCAATAATATCTCATTTTTCTCCTGGAAATTTAGTGAATATTTTTCAGATTCATTCTAATTGCTGTTTCCTCATACTTGCTCATGGTACGAAATGATTGCAAAATCAAGGTTGGTGATAATGCTATGCATGAAGGGAGAAAATCACATGAGGGTAAATAAATATTTTCGTAACACATGCCTAATCACAGGAACATAGTTTTGTAGTGGTCTTACAAGATTTACCATCTTATCCTTGCAAACAACGGATAGCTAAAAACTGAACAAAAATCTGAGCTTCGGTACTTACTTTCAGTTTTGTGGTGGCCAAAGCTGCTTTGTCCAAACCGATGCAGCAGGATCTTAGGCTCGTTGCTGTCTTTCTACATGCATCCCAAGTCATTTTCTACAATTCAAGGAAAGTTTTTGAAGTCGTGCCCTTACACTTAAAAATAGGCATACATAAAAATGTCTTCTCAGTTCACCTCTGCAGCACGCGTTGTTGCCCTAATTCCCGCAGATCTGGATCTACTGACTGACAGCTAGCTGGTTGTATCTGCTCTCAAAAATAAAATGTGATTAGAACAAAGGGGAAAAAAAAAAGAAAACAGACCAACAGTTTTGTCTCTGATGTCCTGGACTCTTGACTGTGTGGTAGATGTCATCAAGTTTCAATTTGGCTGTTTAGGTGTTTTGTTTGGGGGTTTTTTAGGGGAAGGTAGTTGGGGTTTTTTTGGTTTTTTTTAATTTGCATTCCTAATATACTTGGAGCAGAATATTGCAAGGTTTTTTTCTGCATTTGCAACCTGGATGCTATGAACAGAGAAGCAAGGAAACTGCCCTTCCTAATGTTTCATGCCTTCTGGACTGGCAGAACAGCGGTCGTAATGGTTCGTTGCTTTAGGGCCATCTTGCCTTGAAGGCAAAAGCACCCGTGCTTTTGGACTGTATTGCGTTGTTAGTGCCAAATTCCCCCATTTCAGTCAGAACTTCTAAGACTGCAACTTCTGGTCTTAGTTTAATTGAGCACTTGGCACTTCCTTTATTCTTTATGTATTTTTTTTGTGTGTATGGTTTTATGCAGGGTGAAAACCTCATGGTTTTAGCAGAAGCAACTGTTGCTTTAGCAGAGATGTTAGAACTGAAGGCGGATTCCACAGGCCTGGTAGAGGGGACCGTAATTGAGTCTCGCAAAGACAAAGGGAAAGGGTAAGTAATCTGCCGCCGTTACAACGTTAATGAAGCAATTTGTAACAATGCAGAGATACTGTTCAGGTGGTTTGTACCTCAATATTTATGTTTAATGTTGAACTTTTTGTTGTTGTTGTTAGATAAAACTGTAACAGTTTCTTTGCAGTGTTTGTAAACTAAAGCATTGAAATGTTATTCTACAGCACTAGAGCCAGAAAAAGAAGTTATAAACTGATAGGACAAAATTCATCATATGACTGAAATGAAATCCTGTAAGCACAGAGAATTAGCTTAAAATGCTGGAAAAGATGTATTTTTTAAAATGTCATTAAAAAGTAGGAATGAAGAAGGTAATAGTTATAATACATATACAATTTTTGGTGAATTGTGTGTAACATGACCTTAGTGCTTTTGCAGGTTCTCTGTAAACAAGATGTGTTCTGCCTTCCTTAAAAATGAACTGAATTCTAGAAAGTTTGGGGTTTGGGTTTTTTTTTCTTTTGGTTGGGGGTCACTTAATGTGAAATTAGCAACAGACTGATTTTACACAAATGCCAAATTTTGTATTGATCTGCAGAAATGAAGAGAGTACAGTACAGGTTTGGGGCTTTTTGCAAGTAATTTTAAAATTTTATTAGCATTCTAATAAAATGTGTGACAGGAATATTCTGCTTGTGATCAATCACAAGTACGTTCTGTTTTGTGTTTGCTTACCTACGCTAACCGTGAAAACGGGGAGAAGAGTGACTTTAATTTTGTCTGTTATTTTTCTCCTCCGCTCTTCACTAGGCCAGTTACCACAGCCATCATCCAAAGAGGAACTCTGAGAAAAGGCTGTGTTCTGGTTGCAGGGAAGACCTGGGCAAAAGTGCGTTTCATGTTTGATGAGAATGGCAAAGCTGTAGATGCAGCCTCTCCAGGCATCCCGGTGGAAATCATGGGCTGGAAGGAAGTCCCTTCGGCAGGAGATGAAATCCTTGAAGTGGAATCTGAGGTACAGAAAGAGCTGTTTAATGGAAAACTTACACTGCAGTAAGGTGGGTGGGAAGGAGCTGAGTGAAAAATAAGTGGTAGCTTTCACTCTAAATAACCAGGGTAACCTGATGAAAGACGAAGGCTGAGCATGGGTATTAAGAGACCCGAACTAGGTGTTCTGTAAAAGGCGTGAGGTTGTACATATTGCCTCTTTCTTTTCCACTGCCCCCACCTCTCCCCTGCCGGGCTGCCCTCTCCTCATCTCCATGCGTCCAGATTAACCTGCTCTGCAGTCACATGAGGAAAGCAGGCTGCCTCTGGAATTACAGATGAGCCACCTTTGGTTCATGCTTTTGCTTCTCAGGGTCATCCTGCCTTCCTCCATGCTTCGTTTGCAGTGACTGCAGTCCTGAGCGGCTTCTGCGAGGGTAACCTGGGGTGTGTTCTAACGTGTTCCCTTTCTAAAGGCACAGAAGACTTTTCTCTTTTACATGATCACACTGTCACCCTACCTGGAGAACAATCCAGCACTTAATGGTATCAGTGTTTCAGTTTTAGAATGAGAGAACTAGTTTCTGACAAAAGAATATGCATAAAATAGAGCTTGAAATAGGTGGTGTGAGAGCTGGACAAATACCACATGAAAGAATGAACAATAATTCTCTTCTGCAATGCAGCGATACCATAAAAATAGGCCTTGAGTCATATTATTGTAGCCCAGAGAGGAAGCTGTTGTGCTCATTCTCTGCCATCCTTGCAGCAAAATCTGTTGTTAAATGTGAAAGAAAGTGAGCGAGCCTGTAGAGAAGATGCAGAAGGATGAAACTGCATTAATGTGGAGCTTTCTGATGCAGTGCTTTGAAAGGTAACGTTTCTGTCTCTTCCCGCCCAGCAAAGGGCGCACGAAGTTGTGGCTTGGAGAACCTATGTTGAACAACAGGAGAGGATGAAAAGGGATGTGGAAGTTATTGAAGCAAAGCAAAAGGAACACAGGATGGAATATGAGCAGAAGCAACAGAAGCTAGCCCATCTGACCTGGAGACAGAGGAAGGCGGTGCTGTACAAGGCCAATAAGCATCTAATGTTTTCAAAGCCTAAAGAGAGAACAGAGGTGGACAAAAATGTGCTGTCGGTCATTGTTAAAGGTGCTGTCCTATTCTGTTTACTGCGCCGTTGTTTTTGTGCTGCTCAAGCGCTCAGTCTGAAGCGTAGCCCTAAACTATTGACAAAATTTCCGTTACCAGAAGTTTGATTGGTTTAAAACTGAACAGATTATTGAACTTCTCTCAGTAAGGGGAGGGGCATCAGGAAACACCCGGTGGTTAGAATGATGTGCTTCCAGCAGGGCCAGAGCAACAGGACAATGTGAGCCTGACCCCCTTACCCAGGAACTCCTGAGTAAAACCCATACAAGTGCCTAGATATGTGTGTGAATTAAAAAAAATGTATATTAAAAAAAATCAAATACAAGCTATATGAGCAGCAGTGCTGCATCAGCGAAATGGAGGACAAGAACAATTATGTGTTAGTTAAAGTGGGACAGGAGGAACTGGGCTTGCCCTCCCATTTAGCGATACACAAGCAGTGATGGTAGTAGCTGAAAAACCGTGCAAACTTGATCTGGAAATGACAGCAGGTGTGGAGCCTCTGGTCCTATTGTATTTATTCACTTCATTTTTGGAATCAGTAGATTTGTTAGGTGTGTTTTAACAGACTATATAATATAGTAAGAATAGAGTAAGAACGATAGACGTCAAAAGACTTTATGTTGCGTAGCGTGGAGTTGTCGTTCCCTTAGTTCTACTTCAGCGTTTCTTGGGTGTGTACAAAGCCAGCAGGACTTCCGTTTATACACGCAGGTGATGTGGATGGATCTGTTGAAGCTGTTCTGAACATTCTGGAGAGCTATGATGCTGACGATGAATGTAAATTGGATATCATTCATTTTGGAATGGGAGATATCAGTGAAAGCGATGTAAGTCTCGCTGAGGCATTTAATGGTGAGTGTGTGTTTAAAAATCAATTTATAATTAGTACAAACTCTTTATTGAAATGGGTAGGTCTCATTCTGGTTTTGTTTTTCTCAATAATAATTAGCAGCATCAATAAGGTAAACTTAAATGTATCTTAAAAATGTTTCCTTTAACATTCAGCAGTAGCGCAGGCAGGGAAGGCTAGAAATGTCATGAAAATGGAAGGACTCTTGACAAGCTGTTGCCAGTAGCTGAATTGTTAAGGTTAAACTCTGACTCTTCGCTCAGGTTGCTTTATGGTGCTCAAACAGGGCAAAGCTAGAAAAGCAGGTTACAAAAGAATTTCCTTTTGCTCAGGGAGGCGATTGGAACAACGCTGTCAGTAGTTGTTCCCGGTCGTACCCCGTAATTCTCACCTGCTGTGTGGGGGGTCATGGGACCTGCTGTAGTCCGCAAGTGGATGAGAAGGATTTAGAGTTGACTTCCAGCTTGATTTGGACAACCAAGCTGTTTTTCCAGCCCCAAAATCGGAGGTGCTCGTCCCTGTACGCAAGCTCTGGTGAGCTGTGTGCAAGCATTAGTTTCTGCTCTCGTACCTCCAGTTCTGTCATCAGGGAACTTTCTGCAAGGGCTTTTCCGAGCTGTTTGTCTTGATCCAAGGTTAGTGGCAGTCGATGTGCGATAGCGGGAGAAGTAAATGGTCCCTCCTTAAAAGGGAAGCAGGGGTAAAATGCTCCTTCTTGTTTTGCTGACCGCTAATTCTGATCTGTGCCGCAAGTTCAGTATTACAGAAGAGGCGCTTTCACTTACTGTTTCAAGTGATCTCTTGTAGTCATCACTTGCCGATTGTTTTATTTATCAGGTGTCATATTTGGATTCAGCGTGAAAGCCAATGAAAGTATTAAACGGCTGGCTGCTAAAAAGGGAATAAAAATTAAACTTCACAATATAATCTACAAACTTATTGACGACTTGAAAGAGGAGCTAAATAGCAGACTACCCCCGTCTGTGGTGGAGAATACAATAGGTGAGTTTTCATTGACTGTTAAATTTTTGCTTTGCAACGTGGCCTGCAGTTTATTCTCCAATGAAGTGTTCCTGTTATATCAAATATTTTATATTCCTCTGTAGCCGCTTTGCTGTTTTGTTACAAAGCTTGGTAAGCGGAAGAGTGTAGCTTGCTGCTACGTATTGCCAGTTTGCTATTCTCGTGTACTTCATACAACTTCTCTTTTTTCTTTTAGGGGAAGCTTCTGTTCTCAACATCTTCTCTGTAACAGTAGGAAAAAGCAAAATTCCAGTAGCTGGATGCAGAGTACATAAGGGGCTGCTAGACAAAAAAATGAAATTTAAGTTAATCCGCAACGGGGATGTTATTTGGAAAGGTAAGTGTAATTGCCACAAAACAGATTTGCATCCAGTACTAGGCACTGCTAGTTCCCCGTGAGGTTAGCGCAAGCTGTAGGCAGCTGATGGTAGGGCGATCCCACGTGCTGTTTAGGGTGGAGTTGCTGCAACTAGAGAGAAGCTGCAAAATGTCACCGTGCTGTTACCCGGGCCTTTTTCTAACCACCAACTCTGCCGGGAAAGCAGTAGCATCGCAGGATTTACCTGCTGAGGAGGAGACTGATGTCTGACTCTCATTAGCTGCAAGTGCTCACAATCCCTTTTCTACCCTTCATTTTGTAGCTACAAGGTGAAACATTAATTCTGTTACGAAGGGCAAACCAAAGCACTGCTATGCTCTGATGTTAGCGGGCTCCCTTTCTCTGACACGTTTTCTCCTTGTAGGATCTCTGTCATCACTGAAGCATCATAAAGATGACGTCCAGGTAATAAAAGCGGGCATGGATTGTGGATTGAGTCTGGACAAGTATCTAGAGTTCAATATTGGAGATGAAATTATCTGTTATGAAGAAAAAGAAGTTCAACAGACAACTTCCTGGGATCCAGGATTTTAAAGAACATTTGAATAACACTAAGGGACATGTATTATTCCTGGCTGGCCCTCAACTCCTGACATTAAATGAACTTTCAGAGATGCACATGAGCTTCTTGATATCTGATGTTTGTCTAACAATGTTCTGCTTGTAAATCTTGTCAAGCAACCAGCTTACCTCATTGGAACGTGGGATAAACTACAACAATGAACTGCAAGCAGTTCAAGTGTGTAAAGCCATCACGATGTAATTATTTCTGATGACTGTCTATTGGTTCCAAAACAGCCGAGCCACCTTCTTTTGCCCCCTCGGTGCTGCTATCCAATTTTTCAGTGTGTAGTTTGCATTTTGTTAGCAGGAGCCTACTACCCTTTTCTCTAGCATTGACCCGCTTGTAGACGTGACTTCACACCTCCCCATCTCCTGTTTTCCCAGATCAGAACTACTGTCCTGTCTACTCCTCTCATGTTTAAAGAGACCACTTCTAAGGTTAGCTAGAGGCTTGTGGTTTTTTTTCCCCCTCTGTGATTGCTACCCATTATCTCCTTCGAAGGAGACTTAAGTAACCAAAGCCACTCTTTAAAAGTTGCTGCTTCAGTTCTAGAGTCAAAGTATTTCATCCTAGTTGGCAGTCAGCATCCAAAGTTTCACAGACTTCTCGCTTAGCAGCAGAGAGGAAATACAGTGCCACAGGAAGCAGAAATAAATCCTGAAACCGTACAGAACTTCAGATTTTTATTGCCTAGTACATTTACTTGTCTTCTGGTTTATTGAAGCAGTATGTCAGACAGCACTTGCCACAATAGTGTCTGTCGAAGTGACTAGCCATGAAGACGCCAGCTCCACACTCCTCAGAGGGGCACTCCCGGCGCAGACGACTGATCTTGCCGTTCTCATCCACCTGGGAAGGGCAAAGAGGCAACATCTCACATATAGGTACTAGCCACCTTTTAGCACCGGTGACAATTCTGAGTATTTTTCTCTGGCAAAGTAGTTTTCGCGGCAGTTACTACATCAAACTTCTTGAAGCAAAGTTCAGAAGTGCCCGACTGCAACAGTCGGTTTCTCTTCCATTTAAGAGGTGGGATTTTTGCAAATAGAAGGACTTTAAATAGGCCAGGCTGCATGCAGGCGTTACAGGCTTCACGTCCTGCCTGGCGAGAGCCAAGTTTTCATCAAGCTTCTCCTAGAGGTAGTTCTACATACCTTGTAGTACTTCAGCACTGCAAGCTTAACCTTCTTTCTCTTATGCTTGTTCTTCTTGGGAGTAGTGTAAGACTTCTTCTTTCTTTTCTTGGCACCGCCACGAAGTCTCAGCACAAGGTGAAGAGTTGATTCCTATTTGTAAAGCACATGGAACAGACTCAAAATGCTTTCTCGAGACAAGAGCAGCAATTAGAAAGTAGATCTCGAGCGCCAGGTGATTGGGAAAGCTCTAAAAGGATTATTTGTGATCAAGTCTGCAAATGAACAGGCTCCAGAGAGCGGTGGGCTGCTGCATCCTAAGCCCCAGAAGGTTCAATTACTGTGAAATCTGTCGTGACTATATTCCTCAGTTCTAACTGCAACCGCAGAATCCTTTCGTGATGTAACCAGGCCAAACTGACAGCTCTTTGTGGCTCCTGCTTTCTGGTGGCACTCACCGGCCCCGCTGTCAGGCTGATGTGGCAGAAGCGAGCGGGGTTTCTCACGTTAGCCCCCTAACGCAGCTCAGCCGAGTGCCAGGCGCCAGGGCTGGCAGAAGGGAAGCACTGGCACTGGAAGCTGTCAGAAATGTTTTCTTCTGACCTGAAACTAGAGACTGGGCCGCAGCAACTGCCCGTTCAGAAGTGCTACCCGCCCCTAAATCGACTGATTTGGTTGAATCTGTGTGAAGCGTTTCTTAGGCTCAACAGCAAAGGCCAGCCTGCTCCGACAGTGCCAGCCAGCTGGTACTGTATACACCACCCCCTCCCGTCCTTCCTACTCACTTTTTGAATGTTGTAGTCAGACAGCGTGCGTCCATCTTCTAGCTGCTTACCAGCAAAAATCAGTCGCTGCTGATCAGGAGGAATGCCTAATGGTGACATACATCAAGATTACATGAGGAACGTGAACTGTGTCATTCTATAATAAAATAACAGGTTGCTGCAGAGCATCACATCTGTGTAAGATACGCAGCAACCCAACAGAGAAGAGAAGAGTAAGTGCATCTTGAGCTTACCTTCCTTGTCCTGGATCTTAGCTTTCACATTTTCTATAGTATCAGAAGGCTCAACCTATTATGAAACGAAACAACGGGGTCAGAACGCACTTCGCCTTTTCGCTCGCCCAGAAGAGCCGCAGAACCACGAGGAGCTTCAGACACCACCGATGGTGCCGGGGCCACTGCGGCCCCCCGCGGGGCGGCCAGGCCCGGCCGCCATCGCTCCGGGCCGCGGCGGGGCCCGCCTTTCCCCGGGCACCCCGGCATTTCGGGGCACCAGAAGGCACCGCCCGGCCCGGCCCTGCCGCCTCATGGGGCCGGGATGCGGCGAGGCCTTGCCGGCCTCCGCAGGGCGAACCCTCCCCGGGCACCGCTCCCGCCTCCCCTCGCCCGCCGGGGCAGCGCCATGAGGGCGGCGGTGGCGGCTCACCTCGAGGGTGATGGTTTTCCCCGTGAGGGTCTTCACGAAGATCTGCATGGCGAGGCCGGCACCTGCGGGGGGAAGGGGGGAACGCGGCCCGGCGTGCGGCCGCCGAGCGAGAACTCAGCCGCGACCTGCTCGCGGAATGGCGGGGCCCCCCAAGAA